CGAGGCCAAGTATCCCTTTCAGATACAATAATGTCGTCATTGTTTCATCATCAGATGAATCGAGTTCAGAATCAGATTCTGATAATTGCCGTTTTGTTTTTTTTGGATTGTGTTTACCCATGGTTGTATATATAAAGATTCAGCAAACCTTGTCCCTACCCGCCACGGAGCACCAACAAGGGCGATGTCATATGTAAGCAGAGTTCCAGCAAACTAACACCATAGGGATACCGGAATGGTATACTCCAGAGGATCGAAAAGATCAACCAGATTGGCCCATGAGCCACCGCCTTCTGGGTATATGCTCTAGGCAAGTATCTTAACAACTTTAAGAACGGAAGACTATTCAAAACGTAAATGCACAGTGTCAAACCATATCAAAGACTTCATACACAGGGCTTGACATGACCAGCCGATTGATAGAACCGGGCCCATTCTACCACCCGTCTAGGCAAAGTTAGGGTCAAAGTGGTGTGTTGGACAAAGGAAAAAACACTATTGTCGGTTCAGTCATCTTCAACCACCAGACTCCCTTTCTCTGCCGACACAGGGGCCCAACTCACGGCAAACTGGTTGCCCAATTTAGTTGCCTCCTACGACAAGCAATGGGGTGTTGTGGACACATTCTGTGCTGGTTCCACACGTGGGAAGAGCTATTAGCGTGACCCAGCACTCAGCCACGGGGAGGCTGCTCTTCACGAGTGCCATTTAAATTAGAGCCAGTCACCCTTCATAAAAGTCCATTGGGGTGAAGTAGATCATAATGGGGACTAAAAGGCTTTATCACGGTAGGGAAATGATCACTTCCACACAGGTCATTGTGGACTGACCATGTGATTCCGTTTAACAAATTTCAATCCACCAGAGACAAATCTAATAATGAATACTGTAAATCGTGAAATTAATGCGTCTCCAAAAGAATGCAACCACTGGACCCTAGCCAAAAATGCGACTCAATATGAATGCGACACCCCTCCTCTCAAGCATCAGTGGATTTCCATCTAAGGATGTCCTGTCAGGTTTAGAATCCTCACCTTAATCCAATCTTACATTAATCCAATCACACACCAAATAGCACCACTTATTAGCGCTGAGTAAAGTACTTCCGCAAAAAACAATACGTGTGCGCTGGCTCATGTCGGCCTTTGGTGCAGTTGCAAAGAATAAAGGGTGGCATCTGTCTGCACTTGCAGGTGTGATCAGTGATGACATAAGTGAGTAGAACTCTTGTCTTGACCCCAGCAGTGACAATTCACAGGTCGTAATTAGTGTTTGAATGACATAGTTTATATACTTTATATACTTTATATACAAGTGCTGCTCAATAAACAGTGGTGTGGAATACATCAGCGTATGTCTAAGTTGGTATTTCTGCTATCCAAAATGTCTTACTGTTGATATAAATGCGATGTTTAAAAATGCGAGCAAAGACCACTCGCATTCTTCGCATTTAATTCACGCTCGCGTTAATTTCAAGATTTACAGTATGTACCAGTAGCAGGGTGTAAGTAAGTGTCTGCGATTTGGGAGCGGGTCGGACACTTTTTGAAGATCTTTCCGCTGAAGACATGAAGAAGGAGAAAGGTATAAGGAGCAATGTGTGAAGGCAATATGCAATGTAAGACAGTCTGCCACAGCTGGCAGGATTATGAACAACACCATGCCGCACCAAAATAGAAGCACCTCCAGTGGCTTTATTACCCGTAGTAGAAAGGGAATAATATGCCTCAAAGCAAATTTATCTGTATTTGTAGGGGACTTTTCTTGTTTATATTGCTGATGGACTTATATCCGCTGTTAATAACTGCAGTTCATGAAAATTAGGCCAAAGTCATCTGAAATTCAGCTGAAGAAGATTTGACTGGTTCATGATGGTTCTATTGGAGATGAGAAGGAGTCACTATTATTTCGATGATGTGAAGATGGAGTCACATCCATCTCTAGAGGCTCAAAGAAGTTATCAAGATCTACAGATGTTTGAGCAGGAGTGGGGATTTCAGATGATGGTTGTACAGCAGCTGGTGTAGATGGAGCCATAGCATGTGTCACAATATGAGATGCCGAAGAAATTTCACATGGTTGAGTGTCTGAATGAATGATTCATTTGACTGTCACATGCTGTGGTGATGGGCACAGGGTGGTCAAAATTTGCCCATGTCAAGTCAGTCTGACACTTTATCGATCTAGTTGTAGAAGCCCGAGGGGCAGCTGCAGCATAGGTTTGTGTTGATGAGGGTGCCCAGCTGGACACGAGTTTTTTGTATTCTGAAAAGAAATGTTGTTTTGACATTTGACTGTCAAAATATCCTTTCATGTTTCCCCAAACGTCAGGATTTAGAAGACGTTACATGTTGCCCCTTACAAGTTGTGCAGTTGAGTTCTGCTGAGCAAATCAGAGTCTTCGCAGCGGTAACAAACAGTCAGGCGATCGTATGATTTGGGGATTGAAGGATACAGACAGTTAAAAGGTGAACAAATATGTATTTGTTGGGATAATGTGCTCTCCATCTGTTAAAGTGAAACGTCTCAACGAGGTGACATGTTGTTCTTTGAGTTTTCAGAACTTTCTTCTTCTGTCGTGTCTGCCAGAAAACCGGCTTTGTCGCAGAGGATCCCAATACTTGAGTTCTGTGCACAGAGACTGCAACTTCAGTGTTTGCAAAATAGTTCTTTTCAGAAGATTGATAGTTTGACAAAAGAGAGCCGCTGAGCCCCGGGTCCGTGAAGGATTCTTCACCTCTCCACAAATATATTCACTGGCTTTGGATGTTACAAAAGGATTTATTGTTAAAGGAGGATAATTTCCTGATTCTACTTCTAGAAAACGTGCCCAAAGAGACCTGAAAGCCACTTATAATGTCCGGGACGACCGGGCCATAACATATGTCCCCTGGAGAGGGTATGTAAGACCACGTCATTCAAAGTAGATTTATTCTTACCACATCCTTTAACCGTATAATATATGTTGTTTTAATAAGGCTAACTGTGTTAAAAATTGCCAACACCTGAAGGGATGATGTAAATCCACCTGGGGTCCCTGCAGGTAGCAAAAGTCCCCATGGTCGCCAGTGTGGTGATCTACCTTCAGTTGTTGGAGATCAATAGCCTGTTTTGTAATATATTGTTATGTATTGTAATATCCATTTTATGATACAAGTTTTAAATATTTCTCTGTGATAAGCCTAGTTATTTTACTGCCCATCGTTGGCAGGTTTGTTATACGTTTCAAAGTATTCATAATCTTAAACCTTTGATAGTCACGATATGGCTGAAATATTGCCGATGTGACTTGAAACTTAACTCACTCACTCAAATAATTTGGTCCAAGTTAACCCGTGAATGACATAGTGAGCAACGTCCAGTGCAGTCACCGAACCTGACCGCTTCTTTCATTAATGAAATCACTCTCGTTTGGTGGGTACCGAGCAAAACCAATCCACTTATCTGTATGTTCAGTTATCCACCTTTGTTACTGACAAGGCAATTAAGATAAGGCATATAAACACAAGAAACAGCAAATCATATACATTCGTGTTTTTATTGCAGAAACTTTTTATCCACATCAGCAGGTGAAGATACAAATCAGATACAAATTTATAGACTCATAGATTGTGCCATAATGATTCCGTGTGAGATACAACGAAATATATTGTAAACATTCACGTTCAACATCAATATTCAAAGATGTCCATTTTCTTGCAAGAACACAATTTTGGTCATAAAACAATAAAACATTTCTGCTGTATACATATTTATCTATTTATATGAAGTATGGAAATGGGGAGTATCCCTTTGATACAGATACTGTAAATATATTTTACCAGCCATGGTATGATTCACTTGTTTAAAATTCATTGTAAGTAATTCTCTTTTGGTATATCTAATTTGCTGGTAAAATCGCTATTCCAAATCACAAAGTTTAGTATCCTTGGTACATTGTCAGATTATAAAACAAAACTGTACCTTTAATGTCACATGTTACTTTCGACTACTCAAATTGAACACCTACATATATGATTATATTTTTAAAGTATTTTTCGGGGACAATTTCGTTTTTCGATAAAATCCCAGCCTCTGATATCATGTAATCCTGTTCAAAATGTTCAAGGAAAATGGTTTGCGCAATTCGTAAAAAAGTCGAAACATCAGATTTATGCGGCCTAGCATATAAAGAAAATAATGTGAGCTTGTAGTTGTCCGGACTGATGCCAGTTTAATGGTGGTAGCCCATTAAGAGACAATGGATAACATGGTTACCGAATTTAGACCTTGTTTTATTCCTTTAAGCTTCCTCGAGCGTCTGGCAGGGTCATTACAAGCGCCAAATGTAAGTATATATCAGAATATATATTTATACGCGAAGCAAGTCATCCAATAAATTGTTTTTGAACGTTGGTACATGTATGTCATACTGTATCCTATACAACGAGGTCACGTTACCTTACTCCTCTTATTCCAACTCGTTTCCCTAGCTACTTAACGTTGATGAAATAAATATGTTTGACTTTACATTTTTGTCATCTTCGACCTTCCAACCTGAATGTTTGGTCCAAAGAGTTTGTCCTTAGTTTCACAGTTACATGCGAGAATTGATGACTAATTTTGAAATCCGAGTTAGCGTATGGTCTGGTTGCAAAAGGTGACATCGAATTCAATTAATTACCTCAAATGCCCAGTGGTACAATGTGACGTCATTTCGCGTCAACTCATCAAATCAGCATAGCAAGTTGCTAAACTATTGGATAGTTATTACTTTCACTTTTGCTGCCGTCAAGGGTAATATAATACATATTTAATAGTGAATAAAACAACATGCGTGATGTCAAGTAATATGATATCGAATCTTTATGAGGGGGCACGGGTGGCCCAGTCGTCTAAGGCGCCGCTCTTTGCTGTGCCCCTTGGGCACGCCAGAAGGCTATTATTGTGGGTTCGAAACCTGGTTCTCCCTGATTATGTTTCTAGGTTTTTCAGCACCATACCCGTGCTCGTGGGTTTCAACGAGGTGGTAAACGTCTGAGACCTGCATCACTTCAGACTGACACGCCATGATATAACTGGAATACTGTAAAAGCGGCGTTCAACCCAACTCACTCACTCACTCACTTGATGAGATCAACAAAACCGTCAGTGTAGAATGACACGAAATCAACAAATCGCCGAGTTGATCCAATTACCGCAAACGTTTCTGGGATCCACACTCCTATGACACAACGGCTAACATGAAACTTGATGAAAAGTATTTCAATTTTTGGAAAAAATATCAGACCACTTACAAAAAAATAATCTTCAAGTGAAGCTTTATATTTTTTACGTCAAACACAGGTGTAATAAAGTGTGAGAGAAGCTTGATATCTATTAGTTGAATAATGACATACAGGAAATAGTGTAGGTTGTCCACGAATTGTCGTCAGATGAAGTCATCGCTTTGTCAGCCAGCAGACAGTTCTCATTAGCCGGTATCGTTGCACTGTAGCTGAAGTCGATGCATGAATGATATTGGTGACAAATGATGCCACAGTTTCCGGCTGTCATGGCTGACGTGGTCAGGAACGGCTGAGACACTTTCTTGCTCTTGGAGGGTTTGTAGTAGGAACCTAGAGAAGATGAATACTAGAATTTAGATAATAATTAGTCTGAAAATAATTAGTGACGGGCCACGTCATCGTGTCACACTGTCAGTCATGTCACAGAGACTGACCAACCCATCCATCTTAAATGAAAAGATAACTTGGACTTATACTGCACCTGATCGGCATGATGAAAAGAAATTGACAAATATTTATTGTTTGACGCCGCATTCAACAACTTAATGACGGATGTCTGTAAATAATCGAGTCTGTTTGGCAAATCAGTGATTGTGACAAAAGTCGTCAGTGAACGATAACATGCCTTCAATCTTGGATCTATCCTAATCCGATACATATAAAATTGAAAAGAAAACTCAACATTCAATACTTCCTCCGACATGTATCTTTGGTATCATCCGGGGGGCGGTCGGGTAGCCTAGTGATTAAAGCGTTCGCTCGTCGCGCCGAAGATCCGGGTTCGAATCCCGACATGGGTACAATGTGTGAAGCCCATTTCTGGTGTCCCCCGCCGTGATATTGCTGTAATATTGCTAAAAGCGGCGTAAAACCATATTCACTCACTCACTGGTATCATCCGGGAAATGAAGCTACACTGATAATGACGTCGTCAATGAGCCGGGTACGGCGCAGGTGGATTGTGAAGATAGCTGGCAGCAAAACTGCGCTTATGATATAAAATATAAAAGATATTTCATGTGTTTAATGACACTCGTGAAAATCTCCTTTTCGACGGCACATGATAGAAGATACATCATATTTCACTTGACACATGAAATATCCTATCTTACATATACTTCATTTGTTGTTTACAGTATTGTTTTAAAAACAAATTACCCCAACATTTAAAACGCTTTAACTGCTAGACTACGTTACTGCCCCTTCTGAATTATTGTAACATAAAAGTAGGTATGTTCCCTGATTTGATTGGTTAAAAAGTGTTGTCGAATGAGCATAACATCACTGAATTTTTGGGGTCTCATCACCGTGTATGTATACATTAATTAATGGAACTATTTTTGAAATCATCAACATGGAGGAACAGATGGAAATTTACCCTGACTTCCACATCGGAGATTTCGATGAAATATTGAGTGAAATGGATGACGAGACATTTTCTGAGATAATTCAAGAATTTGAAGGTAAATGAAAATTACCTTTTTTCCATTCATTACACAATCATAATCATAATTGATGTAATTTTCTTGGGTTTGGCCAAAGGAAAAAACAAAACAAAATTAATTTTTAACAGAGTAAAAAAACATTTATTGCAACTCTATCATAGTTATGACTTTCATACAGCCACCTAATTTTGTTATTATTATTACTCACAACAGCTTTTGAAGCTGAAAACCGTTCTGAGATGGCCCCTGAACTAGGAAATACAGACAGCGTTTCCGTAGAGCCCAAAGTTCAAGCGTCCAGCGACCGCTTCGCGTCCCTTGATGCAAAAGCAGTACAGGACATCGTGGATGGGAACCTCTCCAAATCTACTGGGCGTAATACCTCCTGGGGAGTTAAAATATTTCGAAGTAAGCCATTGAAACATAAAAGAATACATAAACACATACCAAAAATTCCTACGCAGATTCGTAAAGCGTGACCAATGTGTCATCGCCAAAATTGGCAATAATATAACGAGATTGACCAAAATGTTATGTTAAATGGATATACGGAAATTTCATTTAAACACAACGCTGTAATAATAACTAATTACTCCCACTTACTGTCACAATATTTGTACCCATAAAGAAGGCAATCTTTTCACTTCCAGAATGGCTTGGTTTCCGAGGTTTTTGAACCCAAGTTCGAAGAGCTTCCTGCTTTTCAACTGAATGAGAGACTGAAGTTCTTTTATGCCGAAGTCAGAAATGCTGAGGGAGATTTTTACTCAAACTCGAGTTTTGTTGGGTTGCGTGCTGCCATACAGGCACATCAGGGGATCGCCATTTGAGCGCAGCATTAACATTATCCAAGACCGGGAATTTCACACTGCAAACAATGTTTTTCTGTCCATGATAAAAACACTTAAGCATGATGGCCTCAAAGACTTAAATGGGCCCAACAAACGCATTTATGCAACATCAGACCAATTCTGTCCTGTACTTGCATTTAAAAAATACATGTCTCTCCTAAGTTTTGACATATTGGTCACGCTTTACATTGCTATCATGGCAATGGTGTAAGGGAGGTAAATCTCGCTGATGTTGATCGAATCTGCGTAGGAATTTTTGGTATGTGTTTATGTATTCTTATATGTTTTAATGGCTTACGTCGAAATATTTTAACTCCCCAGGAGGTATTACGCCCAGTAGATTTGGAGAGGTTCCCATCCACGATGTCCTGTACTGCTTTTGCATCAAGGGACGCGAAGCGGTCACTGGACGCTTGAACTTTGGGCTCTACGGAAACGCTGTCTGTATTTCCTAGTTCAGGGGCCATCTCAGAACGGTTTTCAGCTTCAACAGCTGTTGTGAATAATAATAATAACAAACTTAGGTGGGTGTATGAAAGTCATAACTATGATAGAGTTGCAATAAATGTTTTTTTACTCTGTTAAAAATTAATTTTGTTTTGTTTTTTCCTTTGGCCAAACCCAAGAAAATTACATCAGTTATGATTATGATTGTGTAATGAATGGAAAAAAGGTAATTTTCATTTACCTTCAAATTCTTGATTTATCTCAGAAAATGTCTCGTCATCCCATTCACTCAATATTTCATCGAAATCTCCGATGTGGAAGTCAGGGTAAATTTCCATCTGTTCCTCCATGTTGATGATTTCAAAAATAGTTCCATTAATTAATGTATACATACACGGTGATGAGACCCCCCAAACTCAGCGATGTTATGCTCATTCGACAACACTTTTTAACAAATCAGATCAGGGAACATACCTACTTTTATGTTACAATATCTGTTTGAGGTATTTAATCTAACTTACAAGCGCATCAAAATATCAATTGTTTAGCAATGCATTTGAACAATAATTGTCAAAATCGGAAGAGTTTCAAACAAATATAACGTGTGAGGAGAACTGTTATCCAGTGACATATTTTCACTGTCAACAAAGAAATGTACTGAAGTGTTCCGAAGCCCGACAACTTCCGTATGCGACACGCGCACGCACGTTACAGGTAGTAACGGCAAAGTATCACTTTTCTAAACTTTAGAAATGTCTGTCTTTCACACTAACGTATATAACAATTATGTCCTATATTATGCAGGATTGAATTTCCAAAAAAGATATTGTTCCTTTGGAATTCTTTTCAATTTGTCCGTTGTTGACATATTATGAAAAGTAAACTTTGTGTTTCTGTTTACCTGTTGTTTTTAAACGGTACCACAGCCTTTTAATTCCTTCCATACATGATTTATTATTATTATGATTAAGGACTGATATTGACTTTTGCGTACTAACTTTGAGTCGATGGTTTACTCACGATATGGCTTCTTAGCCCCCTCCCCTTGAACATCCACATGTCCGATATCGAGGTGTACATTGTTGGTAGATGGCCTTGTGACACGGACAAAGCGGACAGGGAATGTGGCATTGCAGGTGAAGGTGAACTCTTGCCCAGCAGTGACAGCGCTAGACACATTCCCACACCACTCCACCTGGACATCAGAGCAGAGGCTGACGTCTTTGTCCATCACCTCCACCTCGGCATTTCTCATGTGTAGATCTGTAAACAAAGGAGTATTCAAGGGCACGTATCAAACATAAAATGGCTTTTGGTTCGAACTGTATGGTCAAGTCGATGGTTCTTGTGTTCTTTCTGTGTGATTTAATCTTGAAATGAATCAGTTTATCATTAATGATATCCCATTCAGCTGCCGTATTTACACTGCAATGGAAATATTTCTTTACAAGGTCTATATTTTTTTGTCTAATAATCCATATAAATTATGCATTATCACTCGATAAAACATAAGTGACGTGTCCTGTATGAACTTACTCCATCCCCCAAAGGTTGGTGCTGTGAGGGTGATGCTGCTGATGGTGAAGTAGCCCCTCAGGTCCACCTCCCACCAGGACGGGTTGCCAAGGTCTGTTGCTGATCCAGATGACATATAGGCTTTATTTAAAGCCCGACTAGCACCATAGCTCAGATGGGTACTACTCTGTTTAGCATATTTCCCATTTGAAATATTTTCACCTGCAATGAAAGTGAGTGTGAGTGAGTTGGGTTTAATGCTTTATTCTCGTTATATCGCGGAGTGTCAGCTCAATGTGAGAGGAAAGCCCGAAGTGATGCAGATCTCAGACGTTTACCACTTCGCTGAAACTCACGAGCACGGATATGGTGCTGACAAACCTAGAAATATAATTGGGACGAACCGATATTCTAACCCACAAGCATAGGTTTCTGGCGTGCACAAGGGACGCAACTCTGCACAGCGAATCGCGGCGCCATAGACGACTTGGCCACCCAGTTACACAAATGTAGAATTGTGGTTGTTACAATATTCAATGTATGTCAATACAATTTTACAGTAAATGACTGTATTTCAAGTCTTTGGCGCATCTCTGTATCACTGTGATGTCATATCTGTGGCTTCATAATAGTGACGTGCCGTGCACAACAAAACTTTGAAAGGCTGGCATGTGAAATGACTTTATAATTGGGTTGGAGTTACTAGACACATTCTTGGTCCGGTGATACAGAGGGAAACGTAAAACGTCCAACACAATCACTACCTATTCACTGACAATCGCCTTCGGGCGGAAACGTTAATAATTAAACCACGAAAATAGATTACCAATAGGCACAAATATAATAGTGCTGAAGTTTTATTGAGTTATTCTCACTACTGGTTTGGGCTCCCTCTGTCCGTCCGTCCGACACCAATGGGCACACGTTTTTTTGGAAAACTGCTGATTATACAGGTAGCAAAAAGGAGTCATTTGTACTATTACGAATATTTCATTATTACCAAAACCTACAAATTTTAAATATTTGTGCAGCAAAGCAAAATAGGTATATACTCAAGGTGATACAGAAATTCCTCCAATTGGACACAATCCGGATACTGGTCACAAACATATTGAAAACACAGTTCAATTATCCAACGCCACAGTGTGCATATACTCAGTCTAGCTCAAATCAAAGTTCCACTTTCCTGTCTCTCACAAAAGACCGACATTGCCCTAGACATCACAAGATTCCACTAGTAGGAATACCTCAATCCGACATTGTCAATACAGGAACATAGGAAGTGAGAGACGGACGTCCTAGACCCGAATAAGCGCTCCAACTCAAAACTCTAATGCCTACAGGTATACCTGGTCAACCCTAGCTCAGTCACATGACAAGCAAAAACAACAGCGCCATAAAGGCTAGGACACTTAGACCGTGAGGGTCTATGCCAATCATCTTTAATCAAATGGGGGCTAAATATGCTAGATGCATGGAAAGAAATAAAATTTTGCGACATCGCCAATGTCACCGAAGTTGCCAATTATCATTCACATACAGTTTCATTTTTCAGTAATGTTATGAAAGAAATACACAACATCGACTATAAGTCCATCGTTAAATTTCAAAGGTCACAAACAATAGAGCGCAATAACTGAATCCTACAAATAGCATCACCTGTACAAAGTGAACACATTCAAATGCTATTAATGGTGGAGAAAAGACATAAAGTTGCAGTTTCCGTGGACCAGTTGTGCCTGACGATGAGATGTTTATGGCCGCCAACACAATCTGCTCAATCTGATGCCAAAGGTCATCTCGACCCAGCATTCGGATAATTCCATGTGGTGTCATACCAACATTTGTTTGATTGACTGTCTTCACTGGTTCACAGTTTAAGAAATCACATTACGCCAACTCGCGGAAGTCGTGACACTTATATAAATGTATACCCAATGTCTGTTGACTTTAAACAAGCATGAAATACTCACATCCCCCGCCAATATGACATGTCGGGTGTGTGCAATGCATTAGCTCCTGTGAACTACGTTCACGGGGCCTTTCTGTAATAACTTTTTGTAATAACCTTTTGTAATATTTTTTTTTTAAATCCCAAACTATCAAAAGGCACCAGTTCACCACTAGACCTATCTATGTGCCAAGTTTGGTGAAGAAATATGGTACGGTTTTCAAGATCTGCTCCGGAAACGAGGACTACTGCCATTTTCAGTCTAAATCAAAGTCATTGCCAAGGAAACTCGAAAAATAACTCTTAACAAGTATTTGTCACAAAGTGACGAAATGTCCCCCGCCTGTATATACACCATAGTACCAAATATGAAGACAATCCAGCGATTAGTTCTTGAGATATCGCGGCAACACCGTTTTCCAACTCCAAAAGCAGATTTGCCTGCTGTGACCTTGAAAATGGGGTCAAGGTCACCAAAACCGACTGGTGTATGCGGTGTCTGTATATACACCATAGTTCCAAATATGAAGACAATCCAGCGATTAGTTTTTGAGATATCGCGGCAACACCGTTTTCTAACTCCAAAAGCAGATTTGCCTGCTGTGACCTTGAAAATGGGGTCAAGGTCACCAAAACCGACTGGTGTCTGCGGAGTCTGTATATACACCATAGTTCCAAATATGAAGACAATCCAGTGTTTAGTTCTTGAGATATCGCTGCAACACCGTTTTCCAACTCCAAAAGCAGATTTGCCTGCTGTGACCTTGAAAATGGGGTCAAGGTCACCAAAACCGACTGGTGTATGCGGTGTCTGTATATACACCATAGTTCCAAATATGAAGACAATCCAGCGATTAGTTTTTGAGATATCGCGGCAACACCGTTTTCTAACTCCAAAAGCAGATTTGCCTGCTGTGACCTTGAAAATGGGGTCAAGGTCACCAAAACCGACTGGTGTCTGCGGTGTCTGTATATACACCATAGTTCCAAATATGAAGACAATCCAGTGTTTAGTTCTTGAGATATCGCGGCAACACCGTTTTCCAACTCCAAAAGCAGATTTGCCTGCTGTGACCTTGAAAATGGGGTCAAGGTCACCAAAACCGACTGGTGTCTGCGGAGTCTGTATATACACCATAGTTCCAAATATGAAGACAAATCCAGCGATTAGTTCTTGAGATATTGCGGCAACACCGTTTTCCAACTCCAAAAGCAGATTTGCCTGCTGTGACCTTGAAAATGGGGTCAAGGTCACCAAAACCGACTGGTGTCTGCGGTGTCTGTATATACACCATAGTTCCAAATATGAAGACAATCCAGTGTTTAGTTCTTGAGATATCGCGGCAACACCGTTTTCCAACTCCAAAAGCAGATTTGCCTGCTGTGACCTTGAAAATGGGATCAAGGTCACCAAAACCAACTGGTGTCTGCGGAGTCTGAATATACACCATAGTTCCAAATATGAAGACAATCCAGTGTTTAGTTCTTGAGATATCGCGGCAACACCGTTTTCCAACTCCAAAAGCAGATTTGTCTGCCATGACGTTGAAAATGGGGTCAAGGTCACCAAAACCGACTGGTGTCTGCGGAGTCTGTATATACACCATAGTTCCAAATACGAAGACAATCCAGTGATTAGTTCTTGAGATATCGCGGCAACACTGTTTTCCAACTCCAAAAGCAGATTTGCCTGCTGTGACCTTGAAAATGGGGTCAAGGTCACCAAAACCGACTGGTGTCTGCGGTGTCTGTATATACACCATAGTTCCAAATATGAAGACAATCCAGTGTTTAGTTCTTGAGATATCGCTGCAACACCGTTTTCCAACTCCAAAAGCAGATTTGCCTGCTGTGACGTTGAAAATGGGGTCAAGGTCACCAAAACCGACTGGTGTCTGCGGAGTCTGTATATACACCATAGTTCCAAATATGAAGACAATCCAGTGTTTAGTTCTTGAGATATCGCTGCAACACCGTTTTCCAACTCCAAAAGCAGATTTGCCTGCTGTGACCTTGAAAATGGGGTCAAGGTCACCAAAACCGACTGGTGTCTGCGGTGTCTGTATATACACCATAGTTCCAAATATGAAGACAATCCAGTGTTTAGTTCTTGAGATATCGCGGCAACACCGTTTTCCAACTCCAAAAGCAGATTTGTCTGCTGTGACCTTGAAAATGGGGTCAAGGTCACCAAAACCGACTGGTGTCTGCGGAGTCTGTATATACACCATAGTTCCAAATATGAAGACAATCCAGTGTTTAGTTCTTGAGATATCGCTGCAACACCGTTTTCCAACTCCAAAAGCAGATTTGCCTGCTGTGACCTTGAAAATGGGGTCAAGGTCATCAAAACCGACTGGTGTCTGCGGTGTCTGTATATACACCATAGTTCCAAATATGAAGACAATCCAGTGTTTAGTTCTTGAGATATCGCGGCAACACCGTTTTCCAACTCCAAAAGCAGATTTGTCTGCTGTGACCTTGAAAATGGGGTCAAGGTCACCAAAACCGACTGGTGTCTGCGGAGTCTGTATATACACCATAGTTCCAAATATGAAGACAATCCAGTGTTTAGTTCTTGAGATATCGCGGCAACACCGTTTTCCAACTCCAAAAGCAGATTTGCCTGCTGTGACCTTGAAAATGGGGTCAAGGTCACCAAAACCGACTGGTGTCTGCGGTGTCTGTATATACACCATAGTTCCAAATATGAAGACAATCCAGTGTTTAGTTCTTGAGATATCGCTGCAACACCGTTTTCCAACTCCAAAAGCAGATTTGCCTGCTGTGACCTTGAAAATGGGATCAAGGTCACCAAAACCGACTGGTGTCTGCGGAGTCTGTATATACACCATAGTTCCAAATATGAAGACAATCCAGTGTTTAGTTCTTGAGATATCGCTGCAACACCGTTTTCTAACTCCAAAAGCAGATTTGCCTGCTGTGACCTTGAAAATGGGGTCAAGGTCACCAAAACCGACTGGTGTCTGCGGTGTCTGTATATACACCATAGTTCCAAATATGAAGACAATCCAGTGTTTAGTTCTTGAGATATCGCGGCAACACCGTTTTCCAACTCCAAAAGCAGATTTGTCTGCTGTGACCTTGAAAATGGGGTCAAGGTCACCAAAACCGACTGGTGTCTGCGGAGTCTGTATATACACCATAGTTCCAAATATGAAGACAATCCAGTGTTTAGTTCTTGAGATACCGCGGCAACACCGTTTTCCAACTCCAAAAGCAGATTTGTCTGCTGTGACCTTGAAAATGGGGTCAAGGTCACCAAAATCGACTGGTGTCTGCGGAGTCTGTATATACACCATAGTTCCAAATATGAAGACAATCCGGTGATTAGTTCTTGAGATATCGCGGCAACACCGTTTTCCAACTCCAAAAGCAGATTTGCCTGCTGTGACCTTGAAAATCGGGTCAAGGTCACCAAAACCGACTGGTGTCTGCGGAATTTGTATATACACCATAGTTCCAAATATGAAGACAATCCAGTGTTTAGTTCTCGAGATATCGCGGCAACAAACAGGTGGGACGTACGGACGGACGTACGGACGGTCGAGAATACTATATCCCCCGCTTCGCGCTTTCGCGCGGCGGGGGACAAAAAAAAACAACTATCCAAAGGCACCAGTTCACCACTGGATCTATCTATGTGCCAAGTATGGTGAAGAAATATGGTACGGTTTTCAAGATCTGCTCCGGAAACGAGGACTACTGCCATTTTCAGTCTATATCAAAGTCGTTGCCATGGAAACTCAAATTTTTTTTTTTTAAATCCCAAACTATCAAAAGGCATCAGTTCACCACTGGATCTATCTATGTGGCAAGTTTGGTGAAGAAATATGGTACGGTTTTCAAGATCTGCTCCGGAAACGAGGACTACCGCCATTTTCAGTCTAAATCAAAGTCGTTGCCATGGACACTCGAAAAATAACTTTTTTAAAAATCACAAACTATCAAAAGGCACCAGTTCACAACTAGATCTATCTATGTGCCAAGTTTGGTGAAGAAATATGGTATGGTTTTCAAGATCTGCTCCGGAAACGAGGAGTACCGCCATTTTCAGTCTAAATCAAAGTCGTTGCCATGGAAACTCGAAATTTTTTTTTTTTAAATCCCAAACTATCAAAAGGCACCAGTTCACCACTGGATCTATCTATGTGCCAAGTTTGGTGAAGAAATATGCAGATGGTACAGTTTTCAAGATCTGCTCCGGAACGAGGACTACCGCCATTTTAAGTCTTAATCAAAGTTGTTGCCATGGAAACTCGAAAATTCATTTTTTTTATATCCCAAACTATCAAAAGGCACCAATTCACCACTAGATCTATCTATGTGCCAAGTTTGGTGAAGAAATATGGTACGGTTTTCAAGATCTGCTCCGGAAACGAGGACTACCGCCATTTTCAGTCTAAATCAAAGTCGTTGCCATGGAAACTCGAAAAATAACTTTTTTTAAAAATCCCAAACTATCAAAAGGCACCAGTTCACCACTGGATCTATTTATGTGCCAAGTTTGGTGAAGAAATATGGTACGGTTTTCAAGATCTGCTCCGGAAACGAGGACTACCGCCATTTTCAGTCTAAATCAAAGTCGTTGCCATGGACACTCCAAAAATAACTTTTTTTAAAATCCAAAACTATCAAAAGGCACCAGTTTACCACTAGACCTATCTATGTGCCAAGTTTGGTGAAGAAATAAGGTACGGTTTTCAAGATCTGCTCCGGAAACGAGGACTACCGCCATTTTCAGTCTAAATCAAAGTTGTTGCCATGGAAACTCGAAAATTATTTTTTTTTATATCCCAAACTATCAAAAGGCACCAATTCACCACTAGATCTATCTATGTGCCAAGTTTGGTGAAGAAATAAGGTACGGTTTTCAAGATCTGCTCCGGAAACGAGGACTACCGCCATTTTCAGTCTAAATCAAAGTCGTTGCCATGGAAACTCGAAAAATAACTTTTTTAAAAATCCCAAACTATCAAAAGGCACCAGTTCACCACTGGATCTATTTATGTGCCAAGTTTGGTGAAGAAATATGGTATGGTTTCCAAGATCTGCTCCGGAAACGAGGAGTACCGCCATTTTCAGTCTAAATCAAAGTCGTTGCCATGGACACTCGAAAATTATTTTTTTTAAATCCCAAACTATCAAAAGGCACCAGTTCACCACTGGATCTATCTATGTGCCAAGTTTGGTGAAGAAATATGCAGATGGTACAGTTTTCAAGATCTGCTCCGGAACGAGGACTACTGCCATTTTAAGTCTAAATCAAAGTTGTTGCCATGGAAACTCGAAAATTATTTTTTTTTAAATCCCAAACTATCAAAAGGCACCAATTCACCACTAGATCTATCTATGTGCCACGTTTGGTGAAGAAATAAGGTACGGTTTTCAAGATCTGCTCCGGAAACGAGGACTACCGCCATTTTCAGTCTAAATCAAAGTCGTTGCCATGGAAACTCGAAAAATAACTTTTTTTAAAAATCCCAAACTATCAAAAGGCACCAGTTCACCACTGGATCTATTTATGTGCCAAGTTTGGTGAAGAAATAAGGTACGGTTTTCAAGATCTGCTCCGGAAACGAGGACTACCGCCATTTTCAGTCTAAATCAAAGTCGTTGCAATGAAAACTTGAAAAAATCTTTTTTTAAATCCCAAACTATCAAAAGGCACCAGTTCACCACTGGATCTATCTATGTGCCAAGTATGGTGAAGAAATATGGTACGGTTTTCAAGATCTGCTCCGGAAACGAGGACTACCGCCATTTTCAGTCTAAATCAAAGTTGTTGCAATGGAAACTCGAAAAATAACTTTTTTTTAAATCCCAAACTATCAAAAGGCACCAGTTCACCACTGGATCTATCTATGTGCCAAGTTTGGTGAAGAAATATGGTACGGTTTTGAAGATCTGCTCCGGAAACGAGGACTACCGCCATTTTCAGTCTAAATCAAAGTCGTTGCCATGGACACTCGAAAAATAACTTTTTTAAAAATCCAAAACTATCAAAAGGCACCAGTTCACAACTAGATCTATCTATGTGCCAAGTTTGGTGAAGAAATATGGTATGGTTTTCAAGATCTGCTCCGGAAACGAAGTGTGACGGACGGACGGACGGACGGACGGACGGCACCCATTCCTATATCCCCCTTCCACTTCGTGGCGGGGGATAATAAAAGGGGTTTTTCTCAACGCCTGGTTTCATGTTGTGCGAACTATATGCAGAGGGGTCAGTGGGAGGCGTGTTGCAGTGATTTCACGCAATATCACTACTCCATCGCTGCCCGCAGTAATGTGCAGGTACAGAATATTCCGAGTGTGACGACGACGTACGGGGCAGCCAGCCCATGACATGCAAATGATATAGTCAAATATTCTGAAACATTGAAAGTACTCACTTTGTACATATATGTTCTGCAGTCTTGTAACACTGGTGTAGAGGGCTCCACAAACGAGAACACGGAGGACCAACATCTTCAATTGACGGCTTGTTGTGTTGTGGTAACAGAGACTCAGTCTATAGAAATACTTTGCATCAGTTTCAGACACAAAATATTAAATATTCATGATATTACTCCAATCACTCTTCATTAGTAACGCCACTCACTATATGTACGCACAGTCAAACATGTCTTCTAACGTAGAGATTCCTAAAGACCTACAGGATGGGAAGAGAAACGTCAACGCATAATTGAGGTAATTAAATGAAAGAAGCCAAGCTCAGTAGTGACAAAATAAACTTGGTGGCCAGGATCAGTGACTTGGTTGATATCATACCCGTCGAAGTGGGACGTTAAGCAGTGATAATCACCACCAGTGAGCATCTTGCTCAGCTCGTGTGACGTCATCTCACGTAGTCACACTGCACCCTCTTCTTACATAGATTGTTCCCATTGCCGTTACATCATCTTTTGGTTACTTCAGTCAGGGATTGACCGTATTAACCTCTGGGCTACAGGTGCGTTCTGCAAACAAACTTATTTTTCACTTGATGTTTTGAAAATATATGCCTCTGGGATCCTAAAAAAAAGTGCTTGTCTGGTCCTCCAATGAATAGTTACTAGCTATTGTGACATTAATTCCCAACGTTTGAACTTGCGATTTAGATTTGCAAATGCAAGTACTTCTTATGCCCGTCTACTGTGTATGCTGATAATCTGAAGCTGAAAACAAACCAGACAGATGTCATTTGATCACAATGTTACCTTATCCATTATAACTGCCCTGCAGACTCATTTAAGTGATTAGGGATTAGCCCTTGGATGAGGCGGTGGGTTGGTAATTGAAATTTAATGTCTGTCACAAGTCGAAATATCGCAGCGAATTTTTACAAATAGTGAAAATGATGTTGGAGGTGAATATGTATCAATGTGTAACAAGCTCCGGATAATGTGCTATAGAAGGAAAAGGAGGTACTCATCAGCTTATTTCATACTTCCCTTAAGCCATAACAGATGTGTCTATGTGATACCTACACATACATATTTGTATTTACAGAGGAATCCACGGGTGTTGACGTCGTTTATAGCGCCACTGTTAGTGGATCCAAAATGATTACGGGACAATAACTCCATTTTCACAGCAGAAGCCAATGTTCTTGTAACTGGCCAACACGACATTATCTTTTGTTTCCTAACCAGTCTTGTTGGAATCATTTGTAACCCAATGGATTATAATGCTTCACCAAAAGCAGTAGTCAACAAGAATGTGTCTCCACTTCTTGTCCCATACAGTGATATCAAACCTGTAATAAAGCAAAAAAAGTGAGACACCAAACACGTTAGTAATAAGCTTCATCACATTAAATCAACTGTATGTTATTCCTACTTGGGATGTCAGTCCAGATTGGAAGAGGTCATTTTACGACGAAGTCGTATTTGTCATACAACGTACACACATCAGTATTTATTGAAAGGGTGAGTGGGGGGGGGGGGGGGGGGGCAGTCATCTAAGGCACCGCGATTCGCTGCGCAGAGTAGCGTCCCTTGGGCACGCAAACCTATGATTATGGGTTCGAATCATGATTCGCTCCGATTATGTTTCTAGGTTTGTCAGCACCATACCCATGCTCGTGGGTTTCATCGAAGTGGTAAACGTCTGACAACTGCATCACTTCAGGCTTTCCATGCACTCGTGAAGAGCAACCTGCCCCGTGGCGAGTGCTTGGTAACGCTCCACAGCACCCAATTGCTGGTCTATGGTGGCCTAACTTTGGTTGCTGGTGATCTATAGCTCATTTTTATATTGTATTGTGACATATAGTGATATCTTTTTTATGATTCCATGCTAGTTTTAACGATTTATCTGTGACATTCTAGTTATTTTACTGTCCATTGATGACAGACTTTTATTAATTGATAATATATAATAACTTCTCGTCACGATATGGCTGAAATATTGCCCATATGACATTAAATTTAACTCACTCACTCCCCATTGGTGGTCGTAAAATGCGACCAAATTCGGCAGCCTGTTTGCCGTGGGTTGTGCCCCCATGTCGGCAGAGGAAGGGAGTCTGGTGGTTGAGGACGCTGGAACCGGCAATTGTGTTCCTCATTCCAACACACCACTTTGACCCTTACTTTGCCTAGACTGGTGGTAGGATGGGCCGGGTCCTATCAATCGGCTGGTCATGCCGAGCCCTGTGCATTGAAAATTGTATTTGTACAAAAAAAATATTTTTGAATTGTCTTTACATTTTAGGTCTTGGCCAAATTTGCTTATAAAACACCATTTGATTATGAACTATGTGTACTATTTAAAATGCCTAGAGGCCCAGAAAGCGCTGGCTCATGGGCAAATCTGGTGGATTAATTGATTTTTCATTAATCTGCTTGAGTGTACCATCCCAGTATCCTTGGTGCTGCCCGTCGGAAATCCACTGGCTTACCGCATTGTCCTTGTGGCGCTCCGTGGAGGGTGGGGAGCTGGGATGGTGAATTATTTACAACTTCACCATGGCTCAAACACAAAAAAACAAAAGACCATTAGATGATTCCTCTGATGAGGATCATTCTACACCAAAATATTTTTCAAATAGTTGATGGCTGATGGTACACCATTAAGACTTAATTCTTTTGCCATCTCCAAGGCACTTTCTGGCATTGCCGGAGACGTGCAAAATGTTAAAAAACTTCGACCTGGATTGCTACTGGTCGAATGTAAAACAGAACAAAACAGTCTACAACCTTACAAGCTGCCAAACATTTAGTCTCTACTGCTGTTCTGATTTCGCCACACAAAACTCACAACTCTAGCAAAGGCATTATCGGAGATCGGTGTCTCTATGTTATGACCAAAACTGAAATTGCAGACGAATTGAAAGATCAGGGAATTACACATGTCAGACGTTTCACATACAAAAGAGAAGATGCAATCTACAAATCAAACACTTATTTAATGACTTTTCAAAGCCAACTCCAAAAAGGATCAAAGTAGGATATTTCAACAACGAGGTGGATAAATACATTCCAAATCCACTTCGGTGTTACAAATGTCAGCAGTTTGGGCATGGAACCCACACATGTGACAACCGCAAGAAATGTCATCAATGTGGAGAACATGATCATGAAATTGATGACAAATGGACTAAAATTCCTAAATGTGCAAACTGCTCTGGTAACCATGTTGCTTAGTCGAAATCATGTCCGAAGTTTAAAATCCAACACCAGATTGTTCAGTTAAAACATGAAAGGAACACCACTTTCCTGGATGCAAAACGAATAATCATGGCCACTGTCTCTCCGACCACAGCTGTCTCCTACTCGGCAGCAGTGTCACGCCCACCTTCAAAAACAGTCACACCTGTTCAATGTCAGACGGATATAACTTGGGTTTCATCAGGAAACTATTCCTTGATACAGCCTTCTACTTCTTCTTCACAAACTGATACATCACCATCACCAACTGTGTCAACATCGTTAATGGCAGCAGCAGTGGAGCCAGCATCGGAACCAAAACCATCACCTGTGGTGAAAAATGCTAACAACAAAGTTGACTATTCAAGATTTTCAGACCATGCACCAAAGGGTCGGCGTGACCCTATTCAAATTTACAATCAATATCAGATATCATTCTCAAGGGCGCAACAGAAGTAAGTCGCCGCGAAATGGGAGAAATAGATCTCCTGTTCACCCACCTATAACATGAACAATTCCCATCCACTACTACAGTGGAATTGCAGAGGTCTCAGGACCAATTTTAACGAGTTACATCTTTTAATATAAGATAATACGCCATCGGCAATCTGTCTCCAGGATACATACCTTAAGCAGAATGCAGAATTAAGCAGAACTTTGATTTGCGTCGGTACAATTCCTTCCATTCCTTTTCTCCACCAGGTGTTAAAACTACTGGTGGATCTTCTGTTGTGATGAGGCAGGGAGTGATCCACACCCTGTTTCCCTTCATACCAAACTTCAAACTGTTGCAGTCTGACTGACTTTGCACATAACTTTTACTCTGTGTTCTCTGTATATTTCACCTTCTGCTGTGCTTCAGCAATCGGACCTTCAATCTTTATATGACCAGCTGCCTAAGCCATACATGATCAAGGGTGACTTATGATGGATCAAGTACATATCTACATTCTGCTACTGGAACGTATTCAACTTTAGATCTGTCCCTAACAGATTCCAACTCTTGAACGAATTCACATGCTCGGTTCACGATGACCTGTGTGGAAGCAATCATTTTCCTTCAATCCTGACAGCAAATGATCCATCTGGTGTTCCACCCACATCCTGACGGAACTTTACCAAAGCCAACTGGCCTTCCTTTCAGGAACTCTGTACTGATAGGTTGAAACCTGATGTGTTCAGGGATGTAACTGATCCTATTCAGCTGTTTTCTGATATTTTAAACGAAATTGCCGACATATCCAATTGCTGAGATAACCATTCCAAAGTCCTCTGCAAATCCACACATTCAAAAACCATGGTTTGATAATGAATGCAAACAGGCTAGGAAGTGTAGGAAAAAGGCTGAGAAATATTTCCACCGACATCCAACTGTCCATAATTTGAATCATGTTAAAATTACAAGTGCTAAGGCACGCTGTACCTTCAAGTAAAATAAATGTAAGTCTTGGAGGAATTATGTCTCTAAAATTTATTCTCGCACGCCTATATGCAAGGTGTGGAGCATGATTGCAAAAAATAAAGGCAAATGTTCAAAATCGAGTGTTCACCATATCAAAGACGGTGACCATCTGTTAACAGATAAATCGGACATTGCCAATAAATTGGGTGAAACGCTGGCCAAACACTCTTCATCATCGAACTACGATCCTTAGTTTCACAATTATCAGAAACAACAGGAAAAGAAGGGGTTAGATTTTGCTTCTCAAAATGGAGAGGATAATAATGAGGTATTTTTGTTCCATGAGCTAAATACTGCCTTAGGTCAAGTGCACGATACTGCAACGGGAGATGATAATATTCATTATCAGCTCCTGAAGCATTTGCCTAATTCATGTTTAGAAACGCTTCTTGATATATTTGATCAGATCTGGACGCCAGGAAATGTTCCGCCTTCGTGGCGTAATGCAATAATTGTTCCCATACCAATTATCGACCACTATCACTAACCAGCTGTGTGTGCAAAACAATGGAGCGAATGGTAAATAATTGACTGGTGTGGTACTTGGAAACTAACAATCTTATAAGTAACATTCAATGTGGTTTCCGTCAAAATAGAAGTACCATTGACCATCTGGTACGTTTAGAATCTTTTGTCAAAAATGCAATTGTCAATAATCAGCATGCAGTATCAATCTTTTTTTATTTAGAAAAAGGGTATGATACCACACGGAAACATGATATTTTAAAAGATCTACATGAATTGGTGTTAAGAGGTCGTATGCCTCAATTTATATATATCCCAATTATTAACAGACCGACAATTTCAGGTTCGTTTGGGTTCCACCCTGTCTGAACATTATACTCAGGATAAGGGTGTCCCACAAGGCAGTATTTTGTCCGTAACACTGTTTTGTATAAAGGTTGTAAATGATTCCATTGATGGTTCCCTTTTTGTGGACGAATTGAATATTTCATGTCGTGGAAAAAATATGGATACCATCGAGAGACAGTTGCAGTTTTGTCTCAACAAAATCCACAAATGGTGTCTCGAAAATGGTTTTAAGTTTTCCAATGCTTAGATCAATTGTATTCATTTCTGTAGGAAATACAAGTATCATAAAGATCCAGAGCTATTTTTACATGGCACTCATATCAAGGTTGTAGAAGAGGCCAAGTTCTTGGGTCTCATTTTCGATCACCATAATACAAACTTACAACTTTCACATTCTACCCCGGGTCCACACGGGGGAAGAGCGATTAGCGTTACCCAGCACTCACCAGGGGGAGGTTGCTCTTCGCGAGTGTCGGTTGTAAATAGATCCGTAAATAAGTTGGTCCAGGTCCCGTGACTGATGTTGTGAACAACGTCCATTGCAGTCACCGAACCTGACCGCTTCATTCATTTATGAATCCACTGTACTCTCGTTTGGTGGATACCAAGCAAAGCCAATCCACTTATCTGTATGTTCAGTTATCCTCCTTGTTACTGACAAGGCAATTAATTAAGGCATATAAACATAAGAAACAGCAAATCAAATACTTTCATGTTTTTTTATTGCAAAACAAGTTTATTCACATCAGCAGGTGTAGAAACAAATCAGATACAAATTGATACAGAGACTCATAGAGTGTGTCATTATGATTTCATGTGAGATACAATGAAATATATTGTTACCATTCACGTTCTTGTTCAAAGTCAACATTCAAAGATGTCCATTTTCTTACCAAAAAAAACAATGTTGGTCATTCTTCGTGGCAATAAACATTTCTACTGTATACATTTTTTTAGAATTTCTATATGAAGGATGGAAATGAGGAATATACCTTTGATACAGATAGTGTAAATATATTTTACCAGACATGATATGATTCACTTGTTTAAAGTTCCGCTTCATTGTAAGAAATTCTCTCTTGGTATATAAAGTTTGATGGAAAAATCGATATTGAAAATCAAAACGTTTAGTATCCTTGTTGCATTGTCAGATTAAGGGAAAAATTGCTTTTATGTGTCAATAGTAAATGCTTGTTGCTATAAATCAGGTGATATGTGTGTTTCAGCTCAACATAAACGTTTCTTGCAATTGCATCTTCAGTATGTCTTGGCCATTCAACAACGTTCGACTTTGGTTCAATCCAACCCCACAAATATCAATATTCCTATCATTTCCAATAGCGTCTCCTCCATCCGTTGCTTTTGAAAACAAAGTATTAAACGATTACAGTACAAAACTGTTCCTTTAATATTGATATTTTACTTTCAACTGCTCGCATTGTATAACTAGTCATATGGACAACACATAAATAATACATTCGTGTTAGTGTTCAAATTTTATCAATATACAATATATGATTATTATTATTATTATTATACAGCATGAGTCACGACCATTTGATATTCTGGTGTGGGATTTGGTATCAAGATTAGATAATTTTTTCAGCTTTTATCTAAAACACCTCGCAACAATATCATTTTTGCGATGTTTTTTCAACAGTGTAAAGCAAAATTATTATTTTTCAAGAATGTTCGTGGACAATTCCATTTTTTGGATACAATCCCAGCCTCTGATATCGTGTAATCCTGTTAAACATGTTCATGTAACAGATGACTTTTCTTCGGTAAAAATGTCTAATTTAAAGTCACATCAGCAGTATTTCAGACAGAGTGACTAGAGCAAGTTATACGTTCCTAATATAATCGTACCCGTTTTATTGATAAAACATACATATGCCTTGCATTGTAGGAACAAAATAATGTGTCATTTTATTCAGACTAAGTGTCCAAAGAATACAGTTCGTTCTTTATGTATCTAGAAAACTAACTGAGCACCTCTTATGTTAAAAAAGAAAATTGATGTTCTAAACATGAAGCAAAGCCATGCTAATTTGAAAACACCCTAAAATCAAATGGCCGCTTCCTTAGTTCACAAAAATGTGTGTCAGTGCAGGTACAGCACAGGACAGCTGACAATCGACATTTTATTGGTTTTTAACACGTCAGTGATAAGAGGTTATCTTCTTATGCTTTGGTGTGCATTAGTGACAGGTATAAAAGGAAAACGCTATTTATAAACTTTATGCGGTCCAGCATATAAAGAAAGTAATGTATGCTTGTAGTAGTCCGGACAATTGCCAATTTGATAGTGGTAGCTCATTGACTCATTGAGAGACAATGAATAACATGCTTACCAAATTCAGACCTTGTTTTGTACCCTTAATGTCAAGCGTCTGGCAGGGTCATTACCAGGGACAAATGTAATGATTCAATGCTGTGAGCATAAACTTGAGAAACAGGTTACTGTAGAATTTCCCAAATAATATAAAGTGTAAGTCTCATTGTATAATTAATACATTAATATGACTACAAACCTTTAACACAACTGAGAGTGTAAAGTGCGTTTAGCGAGAGACAACGCAACAATGATGGTCTCTAAGTAAACCCAATTTAGCTAAAGGTTAAAAGCGGCGTTAAACCAAACTCACTCACTCAATTTTAGCTAATAGGAGGCAAATCATGTTTCCTTCCCTCGTTAACGTCTGTCTGTAGTACCATATTTTAACGTCTCATGGTATGACACGTCCGGGGATCGAACAACCGGCCTTCCACTCTCCAGGCATCGTTAATGGGAGCTTTATTCTTCACTCCAGAAAATACGGGAAAGATTGGTTTGCCTCAAGCTTAATAATTCCTGTCTGCAAGACAGGTTTGGTGTCTTGAAAAACTTATCAGTGGTTCGGGATGTTCTCCATTACAGTAAACTCATAATGGAGAAATAGTTCCTCTTGTTCTATCTCTTTTCATTACCTACCTAACACTGAGGAAATAAATATGAAAATGGACTTAATGTTTTTGTCATATTTCGACCTACCGAACTGATTGTGTGGGCCAAAGAGTTTGTCATTATCATCATAGGTACATGCGGGAATTGATGACCTACCTTTGGCTATTGGTGATCTAAAGCCCATTTTTATTGTGTACTGTTTTGAATTGTTATGAATTTTATTCTGATATGCTAGTTTTACAATCTACATCTGTGATAGTCTAGTGTTTTTACTGTCCTTTGTCGACAGATTTTATTGTCACTATGTATTAATATATAACTTGATTTAGTCACGTTATGGCTGAAATATTGCCCATGTGACTTAAAACTTAACTCACTCACTCACGATGACTAACTGTTAATCAGAGTTAGCGTATGGTGTGATTGCATAAGATGATGTTGAATGCAATAGGTGACCTCAAATGCCCAATGACATGATGTTACGTCATTTTGCGTCAACTTGATTTTGGTACAAAACAATCAAATATTGATGAGGCAAACAAAACCGTCATTGTAGAATGACACGAAATCAACAAATCCCCGAGTTCATCCAATTAATAGCACGTGTACTGGGATCCATTTAATCCCAGACTCCTATGACACAACGGCAAACATGATACTTTATGAAAAGTATTTAAATTTTTGGACAAATATTAGACAACTTACAAAAAAATTATCTTACATTTAAGCTTGTTCTTGGGTCAACGGGAGTATATGTATTACTTCAAACATTAGGGTCATAAAGTGTGGGAGAAGCTTGCTATCTATAAGTTGAATGTTTACAAACAGGAAATAGTGTAGGTTGTCCAAGAATTGTCGTCAGATGAAGACATTACTTTGTCAGTCAGCAGACAGTTTTCATCAGTTGGGATCGTTGCACTGTAGCTGAAGGCGGTGCATGAATGATATTGGTGACAAATGATGCCACAGTCTCCGGCTGTCATGGCTGTCGTGGTCAGGAACGGCTGAGACACCTTCTTGCTCTTGGAGGGTTTGTAGTAGGAATCTAGAAAAGATGAATACTAGAATTTAGATAATAATTAGTCTGATATAGCGACTGGGCACGTCATCGTGTCACACGATCATCCATGTGACAGAGACTGACCAACCGATCCATCCTAAATGAAAAAGTAACTTATACTGCACCTGATCGGCATGAAGAAGAAAAAAAGACACAAATATTTATTGTTTGACGCCACATTCAACAACTTAATGATGGCTGTCTGTAAATAATCGAGTGATTGTGACCAATGTCGTCAGTGACATGCCTTCAACCTGGGATCTGTCCTTATCAAGATACATCATAACTCACTGTCCTCATATATATTAGTGAAGTACTTGCAATTCGAGTATACAGTCCAATACATTGTAATTTAAAACAAAAGTCAATGCTCAATACATCCTCCGCCATGTTTCTTTCGTATCATGAAGCTACACTGATAATGACGTCGTCAATAGCCGGGTACGGCGCAGGTGGATTGTGCAGTTACCTGGCAACAAAACTGCGCTTGTGATATAAAATAAACTAGTTATTCATGTGTCTGAGGACACTCGTGAAAATCTCCTTTTCCACGGCACTCGAACAAAGATACATCATATTTCGCTTGGCCCACAAAATATCGTATTTATAACATACTTCATTTGTTGTTGAAAGTACTGTTTTTTAAACAAATTACCCCAAACAATTAAAACGCAAAGTCTAAATTTTCCCTCCTGTATGCATTAACCTTTTTACACAGGGATTTCTGCCCGCAAATAAGATATAGTGCTAATATGAAAATCAATTATAAATAATACACTCCATAAAATACTTGAATTATTTTCTTTTAATTTATGTACTTCTGAGATTTTATTTCACACCATCTGAATTAATGAGTGAGTATGGTTTTACGCCGCTTTTAGCAATATCCCAGCAATATCAGGCCGGGGGACACCATAAATAGGCTTCACATTGTAGCTATGAAGGGAATCGAATCCGGGTGAACGCTTCAACTAGGCTACATTAGTGCCCATTCTGAATAAAGGAATACTCATTATCTGTTTGAGGTATTTAATCTAACTTACAAACACATTCAAATATCAAATTTTAACAGCCTCGAACAAAACCCATTTGAGCGATCGCTAAGCAAGGCATTTAAACCATAACTGACAAAATCGGAAGAGTTTCAAACAAATATAACGTGTGAGGAGAACTTTTATCCAGTGAAATATTTTCACTGTCAACGCAGAAATGTACTGAAGTGTTCCGAAGCGCGACAGCTGCCGCACGTTCGGGTAATTTCGTTACGGGTCGTTACGGCAAAGTATCATTTTTCTAAACTTTAGAAATCTGTCTTTCACACTTAAGTATATAATAATTTTGTTCAATATAATGCAGGATTGAATTTATAAATAGAATATTGTTCTTTTAGAGTTCTTTTCTGTTTATAAGACATTTTATTGAAAGGAAACTTTGTAAATTTGATTTCCTTTTCCCGTCGCAAGGGATAAATATTTCAAATCATCATCCATAAAGGATCTTTTTAATAGTATTGCTTCTCGTTTAATTATTGGTTTTTTAAAAGAAATAGAGTTGTTTGAGAAATTTTGATTGATACGTGTAATTAAATATGAATGTTTTAAAATTTTAATCGTAGTATATTCGTTAGTTTTAATTGACGGCTAAACTTGCATATAATCGCCAGCAGCTAAGGGATGGCGTAAATCCTGCTGGGGAACCGTGCAGGTAGCTGAAGTATTGTAAGTCCCCACGGTTCCTAGTATGGTGGCCTACCTTTAGTTGCTGGCGATCCCTAGCCCCGTTTTATACTGTATTGTTATTTATGGTGATATCTTTTTATGGTTCAATACTAGTTTTAAAATATACATCTGTGATAATCTAGTTCTTTTACTGTCCTTTGACGACAGGTTTTATAATCACATTGTATGTATTATTACTGTCAAACTTGATTTAGTCACGATATGGCTGAAATATTGCCGATGTGACTATAAATATTCACTCACTCACTCACTCACTCACTCACTTTTCCCGTCGAGATTCACATTTCAGGGTATGCAACGTAGTATTTTATTTGAGAGAGTGAGAAAGTACGAGTTCAGCAGCGCATAAGTGTTACTGTCTCTTGGCTAATGGATCTTTCAATCTTTCATCTTTCAACATTTCCATTTCCAAACCGATCAGTGTGTCCATTTTTTAGCACCGTACATTAAGATTTCTTATGTGTGGTTTTTACACGGTACCACGGTGTTTTAATTCCACTCCATATATAATTATGATTAAGGCCTGATATGGACTTTTGTGAACTAACTACGGGGCTACGTTACTGCCCCTTCTGAATTAATTAATACTCATTATCTGTTTGAGGTACTTAATCTAACTAACAAGCGCATTGAAATATCAAATTGTGTGTGTGTGTGTGTGTGTGTGTGTGTGAGTGTGAGTGTGTGTGTGTGTGTGTGTGTGTGTTTTTACACGGTACCACAGTCTTTTAATTCCATTCCATATATGATTATGATTAAGGCCTGATATTGACTTTTCTGAACTATCTTTGTGTCTATGGTTTACTCACGATGTGGCTTCTTAGCCCCCTTCCCTTGAACATCCACATGTCCGATAATGAGGTGTACATTGGTGGTAGATGGCCTTGTGACACGGACAAAGCGGACAGGGAATGTGGCATTGCAGGTGAAGGTGAACTCTTCCCCAGCAGTGACCGTGCTAGACACATTCCCACACCACTCCACCTGGACATCAGAGCAGAGGCTGACATCTTTGTCCATCACCTCCACGAAGGCATTTCTCATGTCTAGATCTGTAAACAAAGGGGTATTCAAGGGCACGTATCAAAAATTAAATGACTTATGTTTTGAAATGTATGGTCAAGTTATTCTTACCCTCCCTTACGTAAGGGAAGTCGATGGTTAAATGTAAAACAAGTCTTGTGTCATTAATGACATCCCATACAGCTGCCGTATGTTGATGAATTACACTGAAATTGATATAGAATTTTTGTTAGGACTTCATTTTTCGTGTGATAATCCATTTAAGTTATGCATTATCACTCGATGAAACTAAATGTAGGTGTTCTGTATGAACTTACACCTGATCCTTACGGTGGCTGCTGTGAGGGTGATGTTGCTGATGGTGAAGTAGCCCCTCAGGTCCACCTCCCACCAGGACTGGATGCTACGTTCCGTTACTGACCCGCTAGATGCATAACTTCTATTCAGAGCCTGGGCAGCATAATAGTTTTCATAGTTACTACTCTGCTTTGCATCTTTCCCATTTGAAATATTTTCACCTGAAAGTAAAATATATATCGAGTATTCATTGTTGGCTGCACACGCACGCACGCACGCAGAGAAAACTTTGCAATTGTATTAGTATAATCTCAAATTGCAGTTTTGCAAGATGGCATGGATCTGGATGCTAGTTCACGTCAATACTCACAACAGCTCTACCAAGTTCCATTAAAGTTGGTTGTTTGTGGCCTGTTGACCTCTACATATCACGACCTACTCGCTGTTTTTAATGTCAGAAATTTGGACTTGGACAGAATTCAATCACACGTAAAGCTACTTTCTTCAGATGTGGTCAAATTAATCAGGATGGTAACACCTGCCTCTAGCCTCTCAAGTGCTCAAACTGTCAGACACTCTCATGCGTCTGTCGTTAAAACTTTTCAAACAATTAAAACCGCAACAGTTCACTGTCAGACAGATCTGCCATGGACAGTTGGAGACTCAACAATGCCAGTTACAGAAATCGAAGCTATCCAACATGAATCAAAGAAAGTTACAGCTACAAAATCTACCCAGGAAGCATCCACATCAACAAAAACAGTCCAAAAGAGAACGATCAAACTGAACGAGTGTCAAAGGCACTCAAGGGTTCTGTGCAACTCCAAAACAGGTATGGGTTGCTTGAGGACATGGATAGGGAAGTATCCCCTAGGGCACTAGTGGTTGTACAAGTGGCCACTCTCCCAAAGACGTATCTTAAACATACAGACATATTTGAGCTGAGACAGTACAACTGTTATCATTCGTTTTCTCCGCAAGGTGATAAAGCAGCTGGCTGCTGTACTATTTTAGTCAGGCAGAGCTTCATTTATAGCGCTGTTCATTTAAATACTAATCTTCACGCTGTTGCTATCAGTCTTACATTGAACATCGCATTTATATACTTTGTGCTCTTTATATATCCCATCTTAATAATCAATAGGATCATTTCTCTAAGCCATGTGCGATTTAAATGGGCAAAACCCTCTATGGGTACAACTACCAAAAATAAGGCAAAAGTCATTGAAGATTGTATTTCTGATAATAGTTTATGTCTCTTTCATGACGATTCAAGCATCTATTAACATCCTGCCACTGGGACCTTTTCTGTCCTTGATCTGTCCCTTGGGCCCTTGTATGAAATAGTAAGTGCTGAAAAATTGAAAACTGATTATTTCAGAAAAGTCGCCAATTCCATCCAGTTGTTTTTGACTCAACTTAATAGAATTGTGTACCAAACATTTCCAAAGTACTCCGCAAATCCTCATGTACGTAAACCATGATTAACCAATGAATGCAAACAACCAAGAAAGTGTAGGAAGAAAGCAGAAAATTACTTCCTCAAACATCCTACAGTTCATAACCAAAATAATGTTAAAGTTACTTTGGCCAAAGCACGATTAGCTTATAAACTCAATAAGCGCCTATCTTGAAGGAATTGTGTCTCAAAAATGGCTTCACGCACATGCATGAGCTATATACCGCTCATGAACAAGCTCAGGATACTGCAGCAGGGAATGATAATATCCACTATCAGTTATTGGAGCATTGCCTGAATCAAGTCTTGAAACAAGTCAAGTCAAGTCAAAGTTAATTTATAGGCCTCAGGCAGCAGGCCAGGTACAAATGGTAGCACAGTATACATTCAAGTGCAAAATGGGCTACACAACATTTCAGATGAAACAAGTCTAGAGGCTTGCTCCCCTACCAATACCGACCCACCATACCCACTAGTTGCCTAAGTGTATATACTTACAAATATTGTCACATCTTGATCATAATGCATTCTTTCTTTCTTTCATTCATAATGTGGTACACACACTTTGGCGATGGAAAAATGACATTTCTGCGACAGTCTTGCATTAATGGACAAATTTGAAAACGCTAGGGTGTACATATGAGTAATTTGGCAAAAAACAGCCGTCTTAAAATATGGTATTCACCCTCTTATCAGTTTCACAAAATGAACATAGACGCTGATCAAGCTGTAATTTGGGTTCAACCCATCTCCCCTTTTTAATCATGAACTGAGCCTAAAACGTATAAGAGCTACTCGGTATTTTACAACATCAATACTATTAAGATACATTTCAAAACACAAGGAATCCTTCATTGATCGGTTCAGACTGGTACAGACTACTTTATAATTGTTTTTTCCACATCTGTTTATATATATATATATATATATATATATATATATATATATATATATATATACTATGAATTCGCTGTTTAAATTCAGACAAAAATCCAGTTTCATTAACAATAACTTGACCCAGCCAAACATATCCAAAACCAAATTCGATGCTCATGATATCAATCACTGGATTGTCTGTCCCAGACGCGGTGTAAAACAGCCAACCAACCAACCAACCAAGACCAAATTTGTTTAATATATTTCTAACCAGAGACACGTTTAGACATTTTTGACCAAATATGGACTTCATGGAATTTTCCTCCTTTGTGGCGTAACGCCATTGTAGTCCAAATACCAAAAACTTGCCGGGATCATAAACCTTTTCTATCTAACCAGTTGCGTTTGCAAAACTATGGAACGAATGGTGTATAATAGATTAGTTTGTTATCTGGAAAATAATATTCATCTTACAAATGTTCAGTGTGGTTTCAGGAAAAATCGAAGTACTATTGATCATTTATTGCGATTAGAATCCTTTGTTGAAAATGTCATAGTTAATAAACAACAAGTAGTATCAATTATGATACTCACTGGAATCATGGTATTTTAAAGGATTTACATGATCTTGGCTTGCGAGGGCGTTTACCTTATTTTATATCACAAGTTTTATCAGACAGGCAATTTCAAGTCCTAGTCGGTTTAACCCTGTCTGATCATGATCCAGTCAGTATTTTGTCTGTCACTTTATTTAGTATTAAAATAAATAGTCTGTCACAGAATTTTAAGTGATTCGGTAGATGAATCACTTTCCGTGAATTAATTTGATATTTATTGTCATGGTAAAAATATGCATACAATAGAGGCAGTTACATATCTGTCAATACACAAGTGGTCTCTTGAAAATGGGTTTATATTAATTGTATAAATTTCTGCAGAAAATATAAGCCACATAAAGACCATGAATTATTTTTGGAATTAAACCCCTATTAAAGTTGAAAAGGAGGCCAAAGTTTTGGGACTCATCTTTGATTGCCATTTAACTTTCTTACCACATATGAAATCACTTAAAGCTAAATGTCTGAAGACTCTCAATATGTTGAAAGTTGTATCTACTTCAAAGTGGGGAGGAGATCAGACAGCCTCTTACTCTTATACAGGTCACTGATCCGTTCCAAACTTAATAACGGCTCCATCGTCTATGGTCGAGAATGTAAACGTAAGTTACAAAAACTACATACTATCCATCATCAAGCCCTGAGGCTTTTCCTTGGAGCCTTTCGATTTTCTATTCACAGTTTGTGTGGAGGCGGATGAGCCATCCCTTAAACAACGCCGTCTGAAATTATCCTTACAATCACCATGTTATTTTCTAATCAGTCAAATCCAGCTTTCAGTTGCGTATTTTATCCTCTTTACGAAGATATTTACAATAAGAAATCGTTGGTTCCACCATTTGGAATTAGAATCAAATCTGTCATTTCCGCTGCTAAAATTACCTTCAACATAAAGCTCCCATCCAACTTTTGTCATCCCCTCCTGTGCAAATGGTAAGGCTAAATGTAGCCCTCACATTCACAAGACTAAAAACAGACACAAATCCACGAATTTATAAACAAGATTACAACCAACTTAGAAGCACACATGACACTTATAAATCTATATTTACAGATGGATCCAAGGATGGTGGCACAGTTGCTCGTGCCACTGTCATTGGATCCAGAACAGTATCTTCACATAACAGTTCCATTGTCCTAGCAGAAGCAAACGTCATTTTAACAGCACTAACATATATGAATAACCAATCTAAACATAAACAATTCATTATTTTTCAGATTCACGTTCGTGCCTTCAGCCTATTACAAATATGTCATGTAAACATTTTTGATTGAAATTCTTGAATTACTTTATTATCTTGCTACTGGCCAATTTGACAATTTTACCCAGCCATGTTGGTATCATTGGTAACACAATGGCCGATGCTGCTGCAAAAGCAGCACTAAAAAATCTGTGACACCACTTCTAATCCAAGAAGCTGACCATAAACCCGTGGTTAGATCTTTCATCCATGATCTGATGCAAAAGAAGTGGGACACCCAAGAAAGTATAAATAGGTTACATGAAGTTAAACCAACTGTCGGTTATGCCTACTTGGATCGTCAGTCCAGATTTGAAGAGGTCATAATGCGACGATGTCGTATTGGCCATTGACGCTACACTCATAAATATTTTTTGAAAGGAGAAGATCCTCCATTCTGTATCCCTTGTGATGAACGAATCATGTAGTCAAGCATGTCATTGATACACATTAGAGCTGTTAAAAAAGCATGGAATTCATGTCTGATAACCTTGATGATACCGTCCTTGGGTCCATCTGTAAATATAGATTTATATGTATTGAGCGTCTTAACTAATCATATTCTTGTTGATACACAAGCTGATTTGTTTCCGATTTCTTTCATTGAGTTAATGGTAGGTCTACCTCTGGCTGTACCAACTGCCATGGAGGACAGACAAAAGCTGAGTAGGAGTTATAGTTTGGAGCTATATTGGCAGAGGAAAGGTCAGGTTTGATTCGTCAGGTTTGAAATGTATACCATTGGTTTTCGATTTTAAAAAATTAAACCCATTTTCAAAGGATCATTTGTAACTTGATTATATTAAAATCATCCACCAAAAGTGACCCACCAATTGAATCATTTAAAACTTTTGTCAATTTACCAACTGAATAAAGTGACAGACAATATACTGCCCTGTGGGACACCCTGATCCTGATTATAATGATCAGAGAGGGGAGAACCCACATAGACTTGTCCGTCTGTTACAAATTGGTGCATGAAATAAAGCAAACGGCCTCTCAATCCAAAATTATGAATATCTTACAAAATACCATGTTTCCACTTCGTATCATGAGCTTGCAATGATTTACAATCATTTTGTTAATGAACGATTCTAAATGCACCAAATGACCGATATGACTTCGGTCGTTATGGAAGCCACATTGAATATTCGTAATTACATTGTTAGTTTCCAAGTACCACACTCATCGATTATTTACCATGCGTTCCATGGTTTTACAAACACAGCTAGTTAAAGATCTAGGTCGGTAATTGGATGGATCAGAATGATCCCGCCAAGGGTTTGGTATGGCATTATGCCATGAAGGAGGAAAGTTTACATACTGAACAACAAAAGTTCCTGTGACATTGAATAAGATTTAATGCAAAGTTTTGTTTTTTTACCAAATCTGAAAAAAATCGGTTTGCAACAGATAAAAGACTCCTGTAAGTGATCAAATGGATTAATTTGCCAAACTGACTTCAGAAAATGCGTGGTTCATTAAAAAAAACATGAACATGCCAAAATGTCAATTTACAAATCAGTAGCGTGTGTGTCTACCTCTGGTTGTGATACAAGCAACACATCTTAGTCTCATGGAATGGACCAGGCGTCGCACAAAGTCCTGTGGGATATCTGTCCATATCTGCTTGAGCATGTTTCGAAGTTCCTGCAGTGTCTGTGGAAGACCTGGTTGACGTTGAAGGCGCCGATCCATCTAATCCCACATGTGCTCGATTGGTGAGAGATCAGGGGAGCGAGCCGGCCAGGGGATGACATTCACGTTGGGTTTTTTAAGAGAATCCTGAACAAGTCGAGCAATATGAAGCCCGGCGTTGTCATGTAATGCCTGGGCTATGACGACGCAAAAACGGTAAAACAACAGGGCCGGTGATCTCGTCGCAGTAGCGCTGTCCATTGTGATTTCCCTCTATCACTATTAAACGGGTCCTCTGTCTTGCTGTAATCCCACCCCATACCATAACGCTGCCGCCCCCGAACCAATCTTCTTCCATGACACAATGATTGACGTAACGTTCACCTCGACGTCGGTACACTCGAATCCGTCCATCGCTGTGGCTGAGGTGAAAACGAGACTTGTCAGTGAATAAAACTTGTCCCCACTGCATGGCCGTCCAGCGTAGACGCTGTCTGGACCACTGTAGACGTGCTTGGCGGTGGTTTCCTGTCAAAATGGGACGTCTGGCAGGTCTTCTGGCGACACGGTTTGTGAAGATATTCGTCGAAGGCCAGGGATGCTTCTTGCAGTCACTGTTGCTGCCTGGAATCGATTTCGTAGGTGTGTTGTTGTTCGAATCCAGTTGTCTTGTCGATTATTGGTTATGCGTGGCCTGCCACTCCGAGGATGGTCTCTGACTGCATTCGACTGTTGCCAACGTTGCCATAAACACCAAATGGTGTTTCTCTTGACGTTAGATTGTCTTGCAACATCACGTTGACTCGATCCTGCTTCAAGCATACCAATGGCTCGCAGACGCTCATTTTCGGACAGCCGTGGCATTTCATAATGCTGAATAATTGTGTAATTTTGTTGTTTTTCTGAGTGGTTGTTGTCAGCACGATGCTAAACAATGCATATGGAATCCCGTTAACGCACATGTTTTTATACCATTCTAGGGTAATGAAATGCATGGGGCTTGCATAAAAGTCAACTTTTGCATGGAATGCATGCTTTTCTCTAGCAGTTGCGTTTTTGTGACTTGATTCCATACATGTACTACAATATTGAAAACCAAACTTTATTTGTTAGAAAAAAACACTAAAATATACTTGTCACGGGAACTTTTGTTGTTGAGTATATTAACATAGTTTCAAGACATGATTCAGGCAAGTGTTTTAGTAGCTGATAATGAATATTATCAGCGCCTGCTGCTGTATCATGAGCTTGCCCTAGGGCAGTATATAGTTCATGTAGTGAAATATTTCATTGTAATCTTCACCATTTTCAGATGTAAAATTCACTTTTATCTTTTCTTGTTGGTTCTGATATGTTTGAAGAGCAGTAATGTAATTAGATGAAGAATGTTCTTTCAACACTTCCTACCTTGTTTACAATTATCATCAAACCATGGTTTACGAACATCAGCAATTTCATTCATTTGATCGGAAAACAACTGAATTGGGTCAATAACATTTTCAAAATTGTCAGGGTGTAATTTAGCTGGTCGTATACTTTTTGAAGATCAATCTGCTGAAGACTTGAAGAAGGAGGAAGGTATAAGGATCAAAGTGCGAGGTCAATATGCAATGTAAGACGAACTGCCACAGCTTGCACATTTGTGTAAAGGCGAACAGGATTATGAACAGCAACCTGCCACCACAATAGAAGTCCATCCAATGGCTTTATCACCCAGGGGAAAAGGAGAATGATATGAACTGTACTGTATCAAATCAAATTATCTTTTTCAGACGAGGGTTTACAGCAGCTGGTGTAGATGAAAGCATAGCCTGTGTCACAATCTGAGATGCTGAAGAGATTTCACATGGTTGAGTGTCTGAATGAATGTTGAAATAACCTGCTTTTACAGATTGAGGGATTGTAGAAAGTGAAAGGTGAACAGATTTGTATTTGTTGGGATAATGTGTTCTCCATATTTTCTTTTGAAACGCTTCAGCTAAGTGACATGTTGTTTGAGTTCTTCAAAACGTTCTTCTTCTGTCATGTCTGCCAGACAACGGGCTCTGTCCGCGATGATCCTACGACTGGAGTTCAGCGTTCTGTCACAGGGACTGCAACTTCAGTGTTTGGAAAAGTAGTACATTTCAAAAGAGTGATAGTTTGATGTCTCCATGGACACGCAACCAAAAGAGAGCCGCGACGCCCCGAAGCCGTGAAACATTCTTCACCTCTCCACAAATACATTTCATGGCTATGCATATTGCAAAAGGATTTATTGCTAAAGGAATGTGATTTCCTGATTCTACTACTAGAAAACGTGGAATAGAAACATCCTCATCAGATGTGGAAATCTCAGCTTCCAAACGTCTCTTCTTTTCATTGTGATTCGAACCAGGATGATTATGAGCCATGATAAAGTAATTTATTCAGAAATTAGAGCAATAGAGAACTCAGAGGTTGACATCACCAGATTTGCCCATGAGCCACTGCCTTCTGGCAGGGGACTCTTGGCAAATTTATATCATATAATTTCCATTAACAACATGCATACCCAACTTTTCAAAAAACGCAAAACATTTTCAACATGAACGTTTTCCATACACTGAGCATGGCGTTACCAGCCGATTGATAGAACCTGGCCCATGCTACCACCCGTCAAGGTGAAATCAGAGTCAAAGTATTGTGTTGGACAAAGGAACCATGGTCCTGGAACCAGTG